ACTTGCATGCTAATTCTAAAAGTGCTGAGATGTCTTATTAGGCATCTTCCAAGGGACTCTGTCAGAAGAAATGCTATGATTATACTGTCACCCATGGCACAAGAATAACAGAAGAGGAGGCCCACATTTGCCTACTATTAACTAACTATTAACTAACTCTAATACCATGTGATAAAGGCTATAAAACAAGTACCAACACCACTCTGGTCTGAATATTTGTATCCCGCACCCCTCCCCCCACCAAATTCACATGTTGAAAACCTAACCCCAAAGGTGACAGCATTAGGAGGTGAGCCCTTTGGGAGGTGATTAGGTCATGAGGACAGAGCCCTCATGAATGGGATTAGTGCCCTTATTAGAGATCCCAGAGAGAGCTCTCCTCTCCTCCACCATGTGAGAGTGAGAAGAAGCCATCCAAGAGGAAGAGGGCCCTTACCAGGTACCTTAATCTTGGATTTCCCAGCTGCCAGAACTTTAAGAAATAAATTGCTGTTGTTTATAAGCCACTCAATCTATATGGTATTTTGTTACAGCAGCCTAAAAACTAAGATAAACAATATATAAAAACAGAAAAGGAAAGAACAACTAATTCCAGAGATTTCAGGACATTTTTCCCAAGAGAAAACATCAGACTTAAAGGATAAGTAGAATTCTGCAATACAATAGAGCAGACATTTTGAGTGTTCATTACTTGACAAACACTGCTCACTGTTAATTTGTTAACCAGTTTAATCTTAGCAACAATGCCATAGTATTTACTGTGAAGTAATTGCCATCATTTTCTTTATTTTACATGTAAGAAAAATAAAACGGATCTTGTCCAAAGTTATACAGACAGCTATACGTAGCAGAACCTGGATCTGAACCCATTTTGCCAGGACATAGAGCCAGAATTTTTAAACGACTTTTCTAAATGGCTTGTTCTAACAGACACATGATAGAAATGCTAAGGTTTATTCTGGTTGGAGATTATACAAGGCTGATATGAAGGCAGTGGCAAGACTGTGAAGAATCTTATCATGTAGACAAGTGGAGGTTTTAAATCTGAGAATTAGCATAATTAGATCTACATTTTAGAAAGACATCTACAGGTAGTATCTTTACAGAAAGAGTTCTTTCACACTGGGAGCAAAAGAAAAAAAAAAAAAATTCTAAACCAAGGGCCTCCAAACACTATAGAAGCCAGTTGGGTGGTAAATGTCTTGAGGCCTCTCGCAAAAATTAAAGTCAAGGGATCACAGCATTTTGCGTATAAACATGCACAGACAAAACAAAATGCAGGCTGATGACTAATTTTTACCTGAGTTAAGCATTTTTTTACATCCAAGTCAAACAGGTAACCTACCTCATATAAGAAACTCAAATGAGTCTACTATACTGTAGCCTTGGCAAGACAACTACTTTTTTTCTGCCCCTTTTTGTACTTCCTGCCTTAGTTTATGTCAAAAGCTAAGTGGCCTTATCAGTTTAAAGTGCAAAATAAAAACATGAGTCAGCAAACAGAGATTTCCTTCCCTCTTGTCCAAATATAAACATTTCACACTGACAAAAAAGAAAAAGTATTCATCTAGTTAAAACAACAATCCAGCAGCCTTAAAAATATTGAGATCTTTATTCCAGCAATTTTACCTTCAGAAATTTACCCTAAGGAAACATTCTTAACCAGAAAGGAAAAATAGTTTTTGCACAAAGATTTTCATCAGAGCATTATGTATAATAGGGAAAAAACGAGAAACATCTAATAACTGAAAAATAGCTAAGTAAACTGCATACATACATCTACTCAATGGAATATTATATAGCCCTTAAAAATTATGTTTTTATGTAAAAGCTTGGGGAAAACTGTTAAGCACAACATAAAATGGTTATATGTACCATGAACAACTATGTAAATATATCAAAATATTAATCATGAGTGGGTTTGGAAGATTAGTAATGTGTCTCTCTCCTCCTTTTCTAAACTTTTCAAACATTCTTTAATGAAAAACTGTAACTTACAATTTTTTTAAAAGGCCTTCTATGCAAATATTTGCTAATTGCCAAAAAAAAAAAACCCACAAAAATCAATTCATTAGCTCAAGCCACACCTAGATGCTACTTAGAAATCAGGTTGGATTTATAGTGTGATCTGGTTTAAGAAGTTAAAAAAAAAAAAGGTAGTTTAAAACAGTGTTCTAAATTCAGAACGTTTTCCTAAGGACTCTCACTCATGGGAAGGATTTCTATCAGAATTGCCGGAAGTGAAATTAGAAAAATACTCTTAAATGACTCCTCTTGACAGAGCTATATCATTTTCCAACTTATGTGTTATTCCTTAACATTAAAAAAAAAAAATTTAAAATACTATTAACTGCTGTGTAACTTTCTTTATATATTAAGGAAACGTAATCAGCCAATTGTACAACAAATGGGCATTTTCTTCATCTTGGCATCATCTAGTAGTAAAGCAACATTTACATTATCCAACTCCTGTGACTATCAACAAAACACACTCTCTTCCATTTAATACATTAAATGGAAGATCCCAAATTCCCATGGAAAGTTTTTTTTTAATTACTCTAATTTGCATATGAAGATACAATTATTTTTTAAAGGGAGAAGTAACCACCAAGTGTTAAAATCCAACTGACACAAGAGCAGAAAATCAAACACCGCATGTTCTCACTCACAGGCGGGTGTTGAACAGTGAGAACACATGGACACAGGGAAGGGAGCATCACACACTGGGGTCTGCAGGGGGGGAAACAGGGGAGGGACAGAGGGGGGTGGGGAGTTTCGGAGAAATAGCATGGGGAGAAATGCCAGATATAGGTGAAGGGGAGGAAGGCAGCAAATCACACTGCCACATGTGTACCTATGCAACAATCTTGCATGTTCTTCACATGTACCCCAAAACCTAAAATGCAATTAAATAAACACCTCAAAAAATAAACAAATAAAAAATAAAACAATGAGGAGACAAATAATGTCCAATCACCTTCTGTATCAGTTTCAGATTAGAGGCTGTTTTATAATTATTGGACCGGTGTGGAATTCAACAGACTAAATAAATGCTCCCATTAAATACTGAGGGAATAATTATATTATTCAATAAAATAAACAAACAAAAAAAGGCTACAAAAAGTGACTAGGGGGAGAAAAATCCAAAAACTTCCAGTACTTTAAGAAAGGCAAATGACAGAAGATAAATGGTCTAATGTCAAATGAAGCAGGCAACTCTTTCTCCCCCCACTTCTTGTTCTTTGGTTCATTACTCTTTCTTAACAGTTAAAAAAATCATGGCACAAAGATCAAAAGAATTAAGAAACTAAAAGTAAAGAGTATTGATTAACTTCACTTTGAAAATGTTTAACAGCTGGATAAGTTTTTGTTTTTTGTTTTTTTAAAACAATTTTATAAAAATTGTTTGATCAGCTGGGTGCAGTGGCTCACACCTATAATCCCAACACTTTGGTAGGCTGAGGTGGGCGGATCACCGGAGGTCAGGAGTCCGAGACAAGCCTGGCCAACATAGTGAAACCCTGTCTCTACTAAAAATACATAAATAAGCCAGGCGTGGTGGTGCGTGTCTGTAGTCCCAGCTACTTGGGAGGCTGAGGCAAGAGAATCACTTGAGCCAGGAGGTGGAGGTTGCAGTGAGCCGAGATAGCCGTCATTGCTCTCCAGCGTGGGCAACAGTGAGACTGTACCTCCAAAAAAATGAAATAAAATTGTTTGATCCATTTTTTTTCTTTTTGGAAACAAGTATTTCCAAGTAATGAAACCACCTATGTGCAAATTTCCAGGCTTACACCACCAGATATCTTCTTAAACAGATAGACTGGTGTTGTGAATACACAGAAAAAGTATGACTGGAGCTCCCAGAGTAGATCTATGGTGGACTTTAGAGTGATCCTAAACAAACTGCACGATTTTTGTAGTTCAGTGTTTTTAATATATGAAATCGTTTCATATATACATTTAAGAAAGATTAATAGAAACAAGATAATTATTTACCCAGTTATTCCAGTTCAGGGTCACAGTGGCCCAAGCCGATCCCAGAATCTCAGGGTACAAGGTGGGAACCATCCCTGGACAGGACACCATTTCATGGCTGGGTGCACTCACACACACACACCTACATTCACTGCAACGGGGACAATGTAGACATACTAATTCACCTAACGTGCATACCTTTGGGATATGGGAGGAAACTGGAGTAGTCAGAGAAAACCCATGCAGACACAGGGAGAAAGTGCAAGCTCCACACAGAGTGGCCTAGGTTGGGAACTGTTTTTTCTCATCAACATTATAAGGAAATGACACTGAACGAAATGAGGTTGTTTGAGGACCTGCTGTATTTGTACTGGAGGAGGAAAACAGGTGAAGTGCCCTGCATTTCTTTTTCCTATTTTAAAACAGCACTTAGCCCTCAACTTTCAACATTTCCCAATCTTAAATAAGTCAAATTTAGCTAAATAAAACTCACCACTAGCAAAATAAGGGTGGAAAAAACCTAGAACAGAAAGAAGTATGAAAACGGATAAAACCTTGCTGTTTTACTAATTCTAATATACTTCATAAAGTACAGCGCTTCACTTCATTGCTAAAAAAGGCTAAAATGAACTCTACTTCGACTGAGTCCTTAAAGGAAAAATGTATTTAACCAAAATTCCTACACAAGAAAACCACATGGAGACCTACAGAGAACAGAGAACTCTGCTGGTCTCAGTTCACAGCAGCAGGAGAGTTCTACTATCACAAACACCCACAAGTAAAGTTCCATCTTACTGAGCCTCTTACTATTCAGCCTGGTTCCGGTTACTTCCAAACACTTTCCAATCTTCCAAACACGGGATTGATGATGCAGAATAGCTAGTTTGATGTTTTTCCTGCTGAATTTTTTTTTTTTTTTTGCCAGATATTGATTTTCCAAATCTGGAGAAATCGAGGGTTGGAGGTAGGAGAGAGGTTCGGCTCTTGAGAACCTATTTATAGTAATGCAATAACGCAGGTACTATTGCTTTTAAAGCAGAGACACTAACAGCAGGTCTTCCAGTCCCTCCAGTGTGACTTAAGTGACATGCTAGCAAGAGACGCAACGTGGTCCCTCAATAGTGCTAAGTGAGTAGAAATCTTAGGAATCAAAGAGAAAAGGAATAACATATAGACTGAATTCCAGCTTACTACTCATCAACGTGTAAGTTCACTGAAGCTATGATATTCCAGCCAAATAGTTTCAAAAGTAGCATCCCCTTGATGAAAAAAAAGCAAGGAACTTATGATGTCACAATGACAAGAGTCTCTAAGGATATAACTGTAGTTTATGTATTTTAGGTGTGACAAGTATGCTATTCAACAAGTCTTCACTCTATCAGAAAATTCTTGGAGTTCTTTCCGGTTCTGTACTGCATACACAAATCCTTCCATCCTGACGAATCTGGGCTGCTAACAGAGCACCTGGTTAATTTGTCTTAATCATAGAGATTCTCTACAAAACAGCAGTTGTCACATCTGTTTTAGATGATTACTTGTGTAGGTAAGTAGACTGAAAGCAATTAAAAGTTTTCTTATTGTCCCCAACTTCAACGAAGTTGGCTTTTCTCTATTTCCCTGCCATTTTTTCCAAAAGTTATACAACATTCCTTAATCCCACTGAACCCTCATTCCCAAATTCATGTTTGTGTTGGAGTACTGTCCTTCAGGACACGGTAGGCTTTCAAGATATCTAGCTCCTCATAAGCTCACCCTGATAAACTCCATTCACATTCATGTCAACTCAAACACTGTAAAGACTCCTGGCCTACAAATGCTCACTCCTCAAACACAGGAAAGATTGAAGACCACAGACATTTTAAGATTTAATTTTATTGATCACCCAAGGAAAAAGTCTACAGTATTTGTCTCTTAGAAAAAAACTATTCTCTTTGAGTCGGTTATCCTAGAATAGCAACCTTAGACTGCAAAGAATGCTAAATGTGGTAGATTTCCGTAAGTGGTTAGTTATGAATGATTCATCAGTAGCTAATAAACAGAATTGTTTGAGTTACCACCTTAGACAAGCATTATACTGGTTGTTTTTACAAACATTATTACATTGACGCTTCACACCAGTCCTTCAAGGTGTAAATCATTATCTCAATTTTACTAATAAACTTGAGGCTCAGAGGTTAAAGTAACTTTCTCCAGACCGTAGTCTGGTAAGTAGCAGATCTACATTTTAAACCAGTACTGACTGATACTGAAGTCCCTCAATCAGGCTTAAAAAACGAAAAGTAATCCAAATACCAAATTCACAGATGAAAAGGGAATCAACTACAGGAGGAAAAAACTATCCCTTAAAAAAAAAAAAAACCTGCTGTATTTTATTTTTTGGAACATATTTCTCTCTCTCTGCTGATCTCACAGGTGCTGTTTATGACAACAATCATGCACATCTGTAGGGGTGAACTGACAGACACAAAGCAGGACAGCCTGAACTTTCTTCCTATATTTAGAACCTTCAGCTCAGCTCTTAATTGCATAATTTAATCAGAACCCTCTAGAAGGGAAACACATCCATATTCATCACAGGCATCAAAGGAAACATCTTTACAAGTTATATCCTTTTACAAACCAACATATGGTCTCACGCCACTCTCCCAATTGTTGAACTCCTCCGCTGGGAAGAGCATGGAATTTTATTTCTTTTTATCACTTGAAAAAATCACTTCCCTCCTAATTCAGTAAAACTGGGTGGAGGCCACTTCCTCCACAGGTGAGAGAAATAAAACTTGTTGATCTGTCATTGTCAGGAATTTTAAAGTTAACCATTTATTTTACATATTTTCAAAATGGAAACAAAAGGCAGACTAAACCCAGAATGAGAAAGTAGGGCACATTCTTCATACTTTCAAATAAAACCTCTAACTATCTTTTGTCATTTTAAGATGGCTTCTAAATTAGAAAACAAGAGTCCTTAACTTGAAAAGGTTTGAACTGCAGCTCTCCACTTAAGTAGCTGTATTTTCAAGAAAACAACTCTGAGCCTCAATTTGCTTTTCCACAAAATTGTGATACCACCACCCAATCCACTGGGTTGTTATGCAGATTAAACCTGAATATGAAAGACTTACTTCAAAATTATAACATGCTGAGAAACAAAAGTGTTTATTAACAAAGCAGGTTCACAAAAAAGGCTAATTTAAATATTTTGCATATGCAAAAAAATGAGGTTTACAGTCTAGTGTTTGTCTGTTTAATGAAGTTCTAACTTCATACAAAAAAAAGAAAAACTGATAACCACTACAGTAATTCAATTCACTCAACAAACAGGTATCATGTGCCAGGCACTATTCTAAGCACAAGAAATGCAGCACTGAAAGAGAAAAAAAGATTTTCAAAGTCCCTGACTGTGCCTTGATGGGGCCTACATTCTGGTGGTCAAGGAAGGCCTCACTGCGAATGTGATATCTGAACAGCCCTCCGAAAAGGGATATTTGGGGAAGTGCATTCCAAGCAGAGAGAAGAGCAATTGCAAAAGCCATTTGAGCCATTTGGCAAGAATGTTCCTGAGATGTTCAAGCAACAGCAAGGAGTCCTCACTGAGGCTGGAATGGAGTGAGTGGGAGAAGAGAAATGGGAGATGAGGACAGAGAGGTCACAGGCGCAGGTATGTGCCGGGCCCATAAGGACTTCAGAGCTTCTGCTCCAAATTGAGATGGAAACACTGAGAGATCTGAGCAGAGGAGAGATCATCCAACTTATACTTTAACAGAATTACTATGGCTTGCTGGGTTGAGAACATACTGAAAGATGCAGGGATGGAAGTAGGAACTGGTGGGTAGAAAGACCAGTTAGAAAGCTATGGCAATTATTAAGGTACGAGATAATAAAGATTTCAATCAGCATGGCAGAAGTCGTCAGATTCTGGATATATTCTCAAAGTAAAGACATGAACAAATAATACTTCACTGCTTATGTAAATAAAGAAAATAACCACACAATTGGAGAACTGTTTGATTTTTAGAAGCATGAAATCTCACATTATGGGGACTATGAGACTGAGTGGGATTTTTTTTTTTTCTTTTACAGAATCTTTCCAGCCAGAGATTGGGTATCTGAGGTAGAACCAAAGACAAGGCCATTGGAGGAGTAGTCCAAGAATTATAGACTAAATATCCATAATTCCTGTACAGGAATACAGGCTGAGTATCCCTTATCCGAAATGCTTGGGACCAGATGGTGTTTCAGATTCCAGATATTTTTGGATGTAAGAATATTCTGAATACACATAATGAGATATCTTGGGGATGGGATACAAGTCTAAACATAAAATTCATGTATGTTTCATCTACACCTTATGCACATAGGCTGAAGAGTAATTCTTTTTTTCCTGAGACAGGGTCTTGCTCTGTCGCCCAGGCTGGAGTGCAATGCCATGACTCACTGCAGCCTAGACCTCCTGGGCTCAAATGATCCTCCTACCTCAGCCTCCTGAATAGCTGGGGCTACGGGCAAGTACCACCTCGCCTGGCTAATTTTTTGATTTTTAGTAGTGACAGGGTTTTGCCATGTTGCCCAGGCTGATCTCGAATTTCTGAGCTAAGTGATCCACTACTTCAGCCTCCCAAAGGGTTAGGATTACAGGCATGAGCCACCATACCTGGCCAATGTTATACCATAACTTTAACAATTTTGTACACAAAAAAAGTTTTGACTGTGTTTTCACTGTGACTTGTCACATGAAGTTAAGTGTCGAATTTTCCACTTGTGGTGCGACATCAGTCCTCAAAAAGTTTTGGATCTTGGAGCATTTTGAATTTTTGGATTAGGGTTGCTCAACCAAGGGAGTAACAACTAGGAGTTAAATCCTGCAGGAATTAGAGTGAATGATATGGGCAGTGGGGCAGAAAATGACTAACAAGGAACGGTAATGAGTGGTATAATTTTACGGGATAGTCAAAGCTAGGTGTTTTTTACAGAGGATGCTAGAAGAATGGTCTGAAGGTGGTAAGAAGAGGTAAGAGGTTTATGGGAGAAAGCAGCCACGGCTTGAGAAAGCCACAGGGGAAATAGCCACCTCAGATGAGCATACACAAAGATCCATGTTCAAGGATATTCATGTTCTAAATAACACAGGTGCCTAACAATAATGGAATGATTAAATAAATTATGGTACATTTGACTATGATGTAACTGCTAATAAAAGAAAAGATAGATGGACTTTCATGTACAATACTACCATGAAAAGGAAACCTTACCACAACAGTTCAGTAAGAAGTGGTAAACAGTACCTATAGTATGGTCTCTTTTTAAAAACACAAATAGAAATAAAAACTGTCTATGTAAATACATGTGCATTTTTAAAGGCCTGGAAAAAAAATAAATGAAACTGAACAAGTAGTTACCTTTAGGAGTGAGCTGGGTGCAAGGGAGTGCAGGAGAGACAATTACTTTTACTCTTAGCCAATTGCTGTTTTCAAATTTAAAACCCCAACAATAAAAAGAAAGAAAAACTGAAAGGAAGTATGCGAGTTATTTCTACATAGCCCTAGAAGACAGCATTATGACCAATAGGTGGCAAGATATATCTTCTTATAAAGGAAAAAAATAATTTCAAAGTGTATCTGCATAGGATTTTCAGAGAAATGTATTCTGGTAAAATACATGACCCTATTCTAGGTTAATATGATATGGATAGGAATGGAATGTATGTTTTTACTAAGCATCCAGGCACATAAACAAAGAATTCCATTTCACAAAATGGCATATTATAACAAAAAAGTTTCCCTCCCATATTAGACCCTTACTCCCCTTTCTATTAACTATTCAAATAGCCAATAAATTTTTCAATGCATGAACTTCTTACTAAATAAAAATGTTATATGTTATTCAAATGTCTTCACGAACAATTTAGTCCTGCCCTTTTTCATTACAGAAATCTGTTATTTGAAAGAATAACTTCTAAAAATCAAAGTTTATATAACCACTGAAACAAACACTGAGATCGGCCAGATTTCACTCTCCTTCATATGACAATCAGTGACAGACTCTTTCAATCTGCCAAAAACTGGACTGGAATTGCAAACATTCACTTGGCCACCTCAGAGGAGAAACTGAACAAACAGCAGCAACCCTCTTCCAGAATGTTAGAGCTCCCTCACCTAAGACCTAAAAGAAGCAAAAGCAAAGTTTTTCACTGGTTTTAGAGAAATAACGCTTTAGATATAAGCAAGCATCACCTACAGAATTAGGTGAGATCTGTACCCATGAATCTAGGCCTTTCTACCTCTGATCACTTGTTTAGTACAATCTTACCTGCTAACTTTCCTAAAGTAACTTATTTACCAATCACAACGGAAAAACCCAAGACAATATTCTCAGAAGGCTTCGGAACCCAAGTTCTCCTTCACGTGCTCAACTACTAAGAAGGCTTTAGTTTCCATGTATCCACTATTTAACTGAACAAATTTGTAAGCCCTCATCACCAACATGAAGCTGCAGCAGAAAGAAAATGACACAGTTCCCATCACCATCAAGCTTACAAAGTGGGTATGGGAGAGATGGGAGAACCATATCATACGGTAGACTGTGATAAAAGTCACAGGACCACTTGTTCAGGCTCTTCATCGAAAGAGAAATATAAATGCAGACAAAGCCGCCATAGTCTGTGCTACAATGATATCTTCCACACATTCTGAGCTGTGTTACTTACCCTACAATGGAAATCCAAATGGTCTAACTATCAAACACCTGGATTAGTGGGTATGGAAAATGGAATGGATAATCCAAAGCAGCCTTACTAATAATTAACTATTGCTTCTACAATGTATTATGATTCAACAAAGAAAGCTTTTAATCACTTATATTTTGCTTATACTATTAATAAAGCCACAATATGCCCTAAGAACATAGCAAATTCTAGAGAAATGCCTATTTAAGATTTAAGCATTGCTGTGAAAAATATGTACATGGATGACAGTTAATTATAGTGTTTTAGTATATCATAAAAACATAAAGACAAACATTTTATCATATAAATCACTCTTTTGGAATGCAGAGTATAGGCATAAAACAGACTTTTACAGAACGCATGAAATATATTAGTTTGAAAACTCATGAAACTTTTATCACTGTCACCACCAACTTCAAAGGGAGAAAGTGGTAGGTAGTTTTATGGGAAACACTGTATAAAATTACATCCATGGACTCAATTTTCAACAGAAGTATAGTCATCTCTCGGTATACCTGGGGCACTGGTTCCCATACGCAACCACCCAATACCAAAATCCTTGCATACAGGTCTCAGTGGGCCCTTTGGAACTTGTGCATAAACAAAAAGCTCACCCTCTGCATATTCAGGTTTCATGTTCTGTGAATACTGTATTTTCTATCCACTTTGGATTGAGAAAAAAATCTGAGTATAAGTGGACCCATGCAGTTTGAGCCTCTGTTGGTCAAGGGTCAACTATATTCAGAAACAATCAAAAATCATCCTTATACCATCCTCATTACCATAACCACTACCATAATGAATCACCAGGCACTGTTCTGAGCACCTTAAATTTATTAAATAGCTCTCTTAATCCTTATATGAGTCCTATAAAATAACTGCTATTTTACAGATGACAAAACTGAGGTACAAAAAGGTTAAGGAACCTGACAAGGTAACCCCTCTACTGCTTCTCTTCAGTCACCCCCTTCTTGGTCTGATGCATAAGGCAGAAGAACTAACGGGAAAGGATCTGCTTATAGTTTTAAAAAATGCCCTCCATCTCCTACCCTTCCCCTTTTATTCTTGTTTTTACTATTGCTTTCCTTCTTGATACCTTCCCACTCTGTTAGGACATGAAAAAACCAAGAGTTTCATTAGTGTTGCAGTAACAAAATTAAATTCATTTTAATCTAAAGATCTTAGAATAAGACATTATAAGCTGTATCATTCAACAAGACATCAGAAAATTGGCACCATTAGCTCTTGTATGTTCAAATCTTAATAATCCTTTTCTCATGATGAATCTGTAGGACATTAAAATTAAACTCCTTTTAAGAAATCCATTTTCTTGACCCAGGCGCAATGGCTCACATCTGTAATCCCAGGACTCCTGGAAGGCCAAGGTGGAAAGATAGCTTGAGGCTGGGAGTTTGAGACCAGCCTGGGCAATATAGCCTTTACAAAAAAAAAAAAAAAGAAAGAAAAGGCCAGGCACTGTGGTGCATGCCTGCCGTCTCAGCTACTCGGGAGGCTAAGGCAGGAGGATCACCTGGGCCCAACAGTTCAAAGTTACAGTAAGCTGTGATCATACCATTGGACTCCAGCCTCCAGCCTGGGTGACATAGCAAGACCCTGTCTATTAAAAAAAAGAAAGAAAGTAATTCATTTTCTTTACGTTCCCACTAATTCTTTTAAGATCCTTTATTGAGAACATAAAACAAAAATGGCGAGCTCTCTTTTTCTTGAGTTTAATACTTTTCTAATCAAGTAAATGCAGCAATAAAGAAAATTTAAAGGAATCTTGCAGGTATAGTTTACTACAGGTAAGATACTAAGATATTAATTTTAACACCTATTACACAGTTATAGGTCACAATGCTACTTACAGATAACAGCAAAAATAGTACTCTGCACTCTTAAGGATTTGGGGTAAGGGGTAAGGGAAGTGGGAAGATAAAGCACACAAACTGTGTGCTGGTGTGGCAGAAACGGTCATGACACTACCACTTCAGTTATCCCATCTGTCTCCTGATCTCCCTTTTCATCCTCAATTTCAGGGTTCCTCAACTTTAACATTACAGGATGTTTGGTTGCATCCCTGACCTCTACCCACTAGAAGCTATTTGCAACCCTCCAGCCCCTCCTTCCCAGTTGTGACAACCGAACATTTTTCTAACATAGCCAGATAAGCCACAGCTCTATACCGCCACTTTTCTTCTCCTTTTCTCTTTGCAATCTAAGCACCTCAGGCCTCAACAGCTTTCTATAACTCATTTCTAGACTCCGGGACTCACAGAACTGCTGATTCTTCCACAAGGGGAAAAGGGAAACACGTCAAACACACACACCCTTTCTATCTCTGTTCTTCTCAATGAAAAGAAAGGGGAAGCAAAGCAGTCAATCCCCAGAACTTAACTGGTGAGTCTGAGCACCCACAACTGGTATCACACAGTGCTGGGTGCTACCAAGTATAAAAGATATGGTTCATAACCACAATGAACTCACAATATACCATATTATATTTCCTGATGTAGTTCTAAAAACCACAAAAAGAAAAAATTCACTCATCAAGTACCTACTGTGTGTCAGGCCAACCATTCTTAATATTGCTGGATATTAACAATATTTTTTCTTTCTGAATATTAACAATATTAATATTCCCTGTGGTACTTTGTGAAAGAATCCTTACTATAATCCTTCAATAGGATGGGCCCAGGCATTTTTGTGGTGGTGGCTGTTCATACAATTCTAATGAATAGACAACGGAGAACCAGCACTGTGCTAACACAAAGATCATAAAGACACTGTCCATACCCTCAAGGAACTCAGTCTAAAGAGTTAATAAGGTAACTGTAGTAAAAGGTATTACAACAGATGCTAGACTAAACAAGCGGGTTTGTATTTTCCTCAAAGTTAGAAGATCCTCAGTGCAGGTCTTATGACTACAATCCCTTATCCCAACTTTATCAAGCTGTCTAAGAGACACACTATGAACATAAGCACAAATAGAAATACGGACACTCAAAACCTTGCTCAAAGAATGAACTAAGGTAGAACTGGGCCAGAGGCAAAAGCTCTAACCATTTCATCAGATTGGAAAAGAACCCAATCCCTTGATTTTAAAAGATGATCCCAACTCTAAGTCAAACAGCTTCAATTGTATAATCTCCTCTTACCAATTAGACTGCTTCAGGGCAGTAAATGATTTACACTTTTCTCTACCCAACCTAAAACATAGTCCGGTGGTGAATGCACAGTAGGAATACATGAAATACTTGCTAAATTTATTAATATCAGCTTAATAAAAAAGCAGAACTCCACAGTAAGGATGCACCCCTTTTAAAGGAGCCTTTTCTAGAATACAGAACATCTCAGCCCACACAAATTGACAACTCTTCAGCAAATATATGCTATAAATAAATGCAAATATATGCTATAAATAAATGCAAATAAATGCTATAAATACAATTTTTGTGCCAACATTTAAATAATAATCAAGTTAATTTTGTTCACAGTTAACAGGAAAACATTTAAACTAATCAAATAGTCCCTCAAGCTTGAGTAAACTAAACAGAAGTCCTAGCACACAAACATAAACACATGGAAAATAAAGGGGTTGTTATTAATTATGTTGTACTGCAAAGCTGGCAATGGGCAAAAAGCAAAACAGGAAGCTGTAATAGATGAGATGGCAAGCTATACACAACCAGCTGTATAATGTCTACAGCAATAGTCACTGCATCATTATTCTCTTTCATGAAAAGCTACTGTCTCTGATAAAATTAAGACCCATTTTCCTAGCTCTACCACTTAGCCCAAAGAGTTTGAATGCCAGGTCTCACCAATGCATACCACTTCAGGGCCTGTACTCCCAGTCAAGCCTCACTCAGAAAGGACATAAGGATGGCCAGGGGATGCTAGTGGGCCAAGTTGTGAGCCTGAAGGTGAGATTTAAAAGCCTTTTTTATCCAACTTTAAAATGTGTGCAGGTCATTTAAAAAAAAGGAGATGGTAAGACAGAAGACGCAGATAAATTCTGATTCTGTCTAGCGGCAAGGTAAGAACCCACTTAAGACTGAATGTAATTCAGTTTGGTAAGGATCCTACCAATAACCACCAGACTCATTCCCTTATGGGAACGATATGAATAGCCTTTTAAACCTGTGATACTGTAAAATATGTATTTGGGCTTCAACCTTGTTCCTGGCATATAGCTCCTAAAATCCTTGGAGACCCCAAAGTGATGTCTTTTTGCATGCTAATGCTGGCTGTTGGCTGGCAGCCCCTAACCAGCTTCAGGATGGTGGCAGGATTAGAGGGTTGAGACTTTCAGCCCCACCCTCCAAGCTCAAGGGAGGGGGCAAGGGGCTGAAGGTTAAGTTGATCACCAGTGGCCAACGGTATAATTGATCATGCCTATAAAATGAAGCCCCATAAAAGACCAAGAGGACAAAGTTCAGAGAGCTTCTGGACAGCTGAACATGCAGAGGTTCCTGAAGCGTGGCACGCCCAGGTTAGGCATGGAAGTTCCATGCCCCATTCTCCCACACCTTGCCCTATGCATCTCTTCATCTGTATCCTTTTTAATATCCTTTATAATAATCAGTAAATGTAAGTTTCCCCACACCCTGTGAGCCATTCTATCAAATTAAATGAATCCAAAGAGGGGGGTCATAGGAGCCCCAACTTGAAGCTGGTCAGCCAGAAGTTCCAGAGGCTTGGACGTATGTTGGAGGTGGGCGGCACTGAACCCTCAATCTGTAGGATCTGATGCTATCTCTAAGCAGTGTCAAAACTGAATTGGAAGACACCCAGCCAGTGTTTGGTGTGTAGGGAAAAACCCACACACATTTAGTCACAGAAGTCTTTTGTGCTGACTGTTGTAGTCTGAGAGCAGAGAGAAAACAGTTTGAATTTTCTACTGACAGAAAACCCATGACCACTATTATCCTTTAAAAAACAAATTTGGAAAATTAAACACTGATGCCTAACTTTTAATTTTCTTTTAAACATTATAAGGTTTTATAAGGTTTACTACAAAGGGAACTTTTCTCACTTTATTTTAATACCTCATAAACTCATCCATCTCAATAATCAAAACCATATTCCAAGACCATCACTGCGTCTCACATCAATGAGTAAATGCCACTGTAAAATCTAATACTGCAATTCAGGTAGGAGAGAAAGGGGCCTATTTCA